AATCAATTCAAATTCTGAACCCTTGGATTTAAATAATCTTCAATTTTAATACCCTTCTCCCTCTAAATTGAATATTTGAAAGCATTTGTGGAAAAGTTTTCTCAACTTCTGCATGGTTGAGAGGAGATTTTTCTTCTGAAACTACTCCTATGTATTTTCATTAACTAGCAAGAAAAAAATGTATTCACAAAAGAAGATTTCTAAAGGTTATTTGATGCTCGTAGTGTATAAGAAACAATTTCTTCAGATTTTGAATTTCAAACTTTTTTAAAAACATCAAAAGAATGTCATAGTCAGGTTAAAATTTTATATTATTTACCTTGTCTGGTTGAGTGTATGTTCCCACACAACGAGGGCTCCTGGGATCCCACAACTTTGTTGTAGCATCCCAACTTCCTGTTAATATTCCATTAACTTCAGGAGAGTATTCAACAGCTCTTATAGCTTGATCATGTGATCCAACAACAGTCTCTACAAAGAAAGATTAAATTAAGTAGTTAAAACTTTCCTTATTGGCCAAGCCATGTGGTTTTGCCCGACTCCCTTCCTGACTGTCATCTACAGGTGCCTGAGAGACCGAACATGATCTTCCACAGTCATTATATGGTTGTACAACCATTGAAACTCCACAATAAAAAACCACTTTCAACTCTCCAAATTGACTAGGTAACTGTCATAGTCTTGTACCTTTCACAATTATGCCTTAAGCAGCCTGTGAACCCATCTCTGAGTCTGTACAATTAATCCAGGGAGTAAGGAGCCAATTCTTCACTCACATACACCTACCACCTTGGGGCAAAGGGATTAAGGGAAGATTTGGGTATATGCAGGAGACACATGAGGTATTGGTCATGTGTACCATATATACCATACACCCAGATCACGACACAGGGAGATGAAGCAGGCTGGCCAACCCAGATGTAACAGGTACTTGACTTGCAAGCAAGCTCCTTTGCCACCTAGTCTGACCAGAAACAACAGGATGTGATAGGAAAGGTGTTGGATAAATAGCAAATCAGCCAATCGTACCACAACACAAGGGTGAAATGCCCATGCCCATACAGAGGGTTTGAACCCATAACCAAACATACTGCGCTCATCTAACATTATAGCCTTAGCGACTGCGTGTGTATTAGCTTATATTAACATATATAACAGCAACCAACATCTCAGATTAGAATAAATTTATAATCTTACCTGTTGTGCTGTTAAAATCATACATTTTAAGAGTGTTATCGAGGCCCCCACTATATGAGTGGACAGCATCCTAAAACAACATAGACAATAAAAATCAGTCCAAAAAATTAACATTCTTACATTTATCATAATATTTTGGAAATTACCTGAAAACAAACATCTAAAACCGGTCGATCATGGGAGTATTTCAACCTCATATTATTTGTGATAACATCATACAGGCGCACAGTATTGTCCCACGATGATACTAACAGAAACTGCGACGAATTCGGACCAAACTTCACAGACGATATTCCGTCTTCGGGAGGATTTTTTAATTTGAATTCTGTACGTGATTCTGTCATTTCTAAAACAAAAAATACAGAAATTATTAGCTTTTCAAGACACAAAAGTTTAACATACATTTTCAAAGAAGCGTTCTGAAAACTCAACAAAATTTTCAAAAATTCTATGCTTTAAAATGTTACACCAAAACCTTTAAAAGTATTTACCGGCAATACTCCTTCTGAAATCCACAATATTCCGATGAAATCTTAACCAGGCTAGGTGCCGCACAACGAACAGTTCGTATCTGTCGGACCTCGTATACCACTGCAACCAATCTTAACAATATAAATATGTTTAGTGTATTATTTACCGCTTGTATCTCAGACCAAATAATGTCAAAGGTGATAGCCCAGTCACAATCACAAAAAAATTAAAACCCATCACGAAGTATTATCGTCTGATATTATTTACCCCCAACAAACAATTTTATTTGCTGTTAAAATTCAATCAAAACGCATGTTGGCACTGCAAGTGCCAGATAGGCATTTATCTACTGTAAATGGTTGGCATTTCGGAATGGAGTAACTAGTTGTGTGTGTTTGCCCACAGAGCGTCTGTAATTTGTAATTCAGTTTTCCCATGACTGTAAACTGCATGGTCTGAACTGTGCAATTTAACAGTATCGTAGAATGTTATTTAGAGAAATAATTCAAAGTGTGTGGTGTTGATAATTAGAATTTTCTGGAAGAAATGTTGCCGTCTTGTTATTGTAGCTAATGCTGTAGATACTTTTTAAGAGTAAGACGTATTATTGTATACATTTCATGCATATTTGTGGAAGGACTTGACACTTAGAGTGAAAAATGATTCCATTTGTGTCTCCATGCCTGGCAAAAACTCGGAGAAATAGTAATTATGATTTTTTGCCAAAACTATGTCACTCTCAGTAGATGGTCAGTGTGTTATGTTAATTACTCTTTTGAATGAAAATTGAGAAAGATATACTCGTCCTGTCACTTAAACGCTTCATTTAAGGTGAGAAAATTTGTTTGCTTTACTGTTTTGAAGATACCATCAAGTATTGCTCAAACTTGTGTGTGTTTTTTTAATATCACAAGTTGAATATTTTTGAGACTGTGATTAATTTTGCAGTAATGATTGGTTACATTATTTATTACATGCTTATATTAAATAATTTATAACATGTTTCACAGACATGACCATGGAGAGGCGAATAAAGTTGAAAACATTAAATAGCCACATAACATGCAAAATTTGCCGTGGTTATTTAATTGATGCAACAACTGTGACTGAATGCCTTCATACGTTCTGCAAAAGTTGTTTAGTAAAACATCTTGAAGAAAACAATACTTGTCCAACATGTCAAATTGTGATACATCAATCTCATCCACTCCAATACATCAGCTTTGATAGAACTATGCAAGATATTGTTTACAAATTAGTGCCAGAATTACAAGATGGTGAGTAATGCTTTTAATTTGATTTTGTACTTATTTAGTTTTGCTATAATACTGTGTGTTTAGTATTGAAAGGCTGGGTATATTATTATATTATGAAGGTGTTTGCCTGGACTGGAGAGAATTTCTAAAGAAAATTTTAATTGACGTATAAAATTGTATGATTTAGAAATTTAATCCTTCAGTATTTTTTCAAATATAATTCTTGACATTGTCCTCTTGTGAACCAAAATATATTATCTTTTTGTAAAGCGTCATTATTATGTATGGAGAAAATCATCTTCCTTTTCCTTTAACCTGTCATCATTTGCATTTAAACTTTAAACATGTGTTATTAGTTTAACTTCAGTATTAAACCATAAAATTGAATCCAACTCTTTATCATTATGGAGCAGGTGATTCATTAAAAACAATGATGGCTCCAATAGGCAAGTTTTGTGTATATCATATATTTTTTAGTTGTCAATCTCGGGAATGATAGTATCAAAACATCTTCTATTCTGTGTTGATAATGTTAAAATTTTGTAGTTCTGAGTGCTATCAGTATGATGCTAAAGTATCTAAAATTAACTTCATTACTTTTTATTGCATTTACACTTTAGTGTTACATCAATGATATAAATGAACACTTTAGGCACCTATAATATTCATTTTACTCTGTCATTTAAAATTAAAACAAATTAATGGTTCTATGGTAGTTGTCATTTGCAGAAGTACCATGTAGTGTAAATGTGTTCAGAGTTTTGATGCTTTGGTGAGTCAGAAATAGCAACTACTGAAGTATTTAACTGTCTTAAGAGGTGTTTGAACAGGCTTTAAACAAACCCCTTCAAATTCTTATTAGAGAAGCTTTGCAGGTGCTTTGCCTAGAAGGTGATGTGGGTGTACATTACTGCCACAAACTCACCATAATTCTAAGTAAATAGCAGGATGAACAAATCTGATTACAATGCTGTTGCATCCAAATTCACTTTTTTTTATTAGTATACATTTGTAATAAAGAATAAAACAATCTTATTTTGCCAAAGAATTCACTTGTACTGAAAATATTTAAGATCATTTATAATTTATTGTATTTACAAATTATTTTTCACTATTTCGTTCAAAATATGTCATGTAGTTGTTTTGTTGTAATTAAAATGTTTTTATTTTGTCACAGAGGAAATCAAACGAGAGAGAGATTTTTATAGAATACGCGGCCTCCCATGTCCCAAAGACAATCCCCCCAATGCAGGTGAAATGGAGGAAGAAAAACCTGCTCCTGATACACACGCTGAGTCAGATTACCATAGACAGGATGAACAGGTATGTTTTATCACAAACCTAATTATGGAGAAGATAGAGTTTCAATTATTATCATTACTACATAGGACTAAGAATTGTTTGTGCATAACAATGACATGCCAAAAGCCGTGAGAAATGTTAAAATATGTTCAAATTGTAAATTTTGAAGTCGTTAACAGAAGCAAATTCTAACAAGCCTCGCCACTTATTTAAATTATTCTTTTGTAACTCATTGTCCACATTTATTTTCATTATGATAATTTTTATGAATAAAAACTTAGAAAATTGAATGTTTGGTAAAATACAAATGTGATCTGAAACCACACAAATATATAATTTTTCTATTTCATTCTTTTAAGGTGAATGTGTGTCTTGAATGTATTAGCAACAATCTCAAAACCCTGAAAAGAAGATTTATCCGATGTTCAGCTCAAGCAACCATTACCCATTTAAAAAAATTCATTGCCAAGAAAGTGTTGAGTGGAACTGAAAAATATAGAGATGTAAGTATTGCACTTGCTGATTAAGAAATCATAAGAAGCATCATCGTGAATTTAATTATTTCAGTAGTGTCTTGTTACCACCCTGAATAAAACAATGGTTGAGGAACCAAGTCTTCTGCATTTGTTGTCAGGCTGGAGAATGACTGTAATCTTGTTGAAAATGAAATGTATACTTAAGCGTATATTCAGAGATGTAATGTTGGTCCTGCAATGTGGGCTGCCTGGTTAAAAGGCAGCCTATTTTTAGGGGATATTTTTATTATTTAAGGTACTAACACTACTAGTTTCTACTAAACAGTTGTATACCTGGGGCCCAGATAAACATTTTGCGAGTGGGTCCGCACTCTTTTTGTCACTCTACTGCATATATTCTAGTGTTTTTAATAACAAGTTTATTCTTGATTATTGGCCTTGGTGTTTTGGCCAAATATTAATGAACCTGCATTATATAGTAATTTCTTATAAACAAAATAAAAACAATTCTTAAAAATTCATTGAACAAGATTGCTTTCTTTTCTCTAGTCATCACTTGTAGTGAATGTGTTAGTGCACTTTTAAATTTGTTTATCAGTTTTTTTGTAATTTTTTATCTCTAAATTTCAATTATGTCTTTTTAGCAAAGAAGTTTAGATGTTAATATTTTCCTTTATCTAGAGACCCTCATAGTTTCTGTAATGCTGCAGCCTTAACAGGCTCATTTAATGAATACATGACCATTTAATGTCAGATCATATTTTAGTGATACTTCCACTTTGTGAGAAAAAAAATTATATAGTTGAAAAATATTATCAGACATCTTTTTACTTTCTCATAATCATAAATAGAAAAAAATGTGTAATGTTGCATTGTGTTGTGTAAAAATTAACCGATTTTGAGAAAAAAATACATGGGTTGGGAGAATCTGTTAGCGAAAAGGTGTATTTTGTTTTTTCCAAGAATGTCTGTCTGCCCATTCATTTGTCAGTGAACAATGCTAATGCTTAGATACCTGTTCGATCTGAAAAGCTTTATGGGGAATGTATTTTCTCATTTGAGAATCATCTTCCCATTTTATTGTATGCGGCGGCGATAGTTTAATGGTTAGCGTATTGGACTGTTATACCTAAGTTGGCGGGATCAAAGCCGTGGATTTTTAAGGGCGAAAAAATGTTTGTATGTGTTCCTTCAGAGTGGAAGTAAAGCCGGCTGTCCTATGTTTATAGATTTACTTGCATGTAAAAGATCCTCAAGCCTAAGTGATACCTCTAAGCAAAATGGTGGTCAGACGGAAGAGCGGGTCTGGTGGCCCGAGTCTCGCTTCGTAAAATAAAGCATTAATTCAATTCAATACCATTCTATATTTTCTCAACACCTCAACAAATTTTACTTCGCTAGGCCTGGTCATTAACCATCTAAAGGTTTTTGTGTCTCTCCTTAAATCATCAAGAAACTTCATGCTTTAAATTAATTAAGAATTTTTATTGTAAAAAAATGTTTTCTTTTAGACAAGAAATTGAAAAGTATGTAAATAAAAACATTTTTATGCTTCAACACTAAAATATGTGTTTTATGGAAAATACCTTCTATTTCAGATTCAATATTGTGCCACGAAACAGATTTTTTAAGTTTTCTGACCAATATGACTATTAACCAAAAACACTTCTCTCTTTTAATTCATCATCATGAACTGCAGGATGAAAGGCCAGGGGGCCTGGTCCTGTCTAAGCAGTAGACCTGAAATATTTCACTCTTCCAGGATCAGTTCCAGTGGACTGTATGATCCACTTCTTTCTTGGTCTTCCTACATCCTCTGCCCAAGTAGATTATATTTGGGCAGCCTTTGGGAATCTTTCTTCTATCATTCTTTTAATATGTTCCAGCCATTTTTTTCTGGTTCTTTTTAACTTTCTTTGTTACGCTTGTTGTCTTCTATCTTTTCCTTATTTCTTTAATTCTCTGTCAATCCAGTCTAGTATGGCAAAGAGGTATCTTTGGAACATTTGAACTGCTTGTAATCTTTGGTTGTCTCTTTCATGTAAGATCCAGGTTTCTGATCCACATACTAATACCATTGGCTTGGCTGTCATTAGGTATTTTTAATTTGGTTTCTTGTGTCATTTCCTTTCCAAAATGTCATTTAATTATTCCATTTATTCTATTATATTTCAAAATGTTGTGTTGTAAATCTAGGGAGTTTTGGCCAACGTCATTGTCTAAATAATTAATTGTTGAAACTTGATCTATTATTTCTCCTTCAATGACTATCTTCACTCTTCTTAGTTCCTTTCCTTGGGATGTCATTGTTTGTGTTTTCTTGGTAGATTTTCATGTCGTAGGTCTTTGCTATTTCGTTCAGTTCATATATTACTACTCAGAGTTCATCTGCTGATTTGGCCTAAATTATTTGGTTGTGTGTAATTATGACTGTTTGTAGGGTTTCTTGTTTTGTTACGTTGAATGCCTTGCTTTACTGACTTCTTCCATTCTTTGATGGGACTGTTGGCGTAAACATTGTGAAGGTTGGGTGGCAGGTGCATCTCTGAGTCAGACCTCTGTGTGATAGTCCTATTGTTTATTTAAGGCAATTTTTGAGTCCATAAAGAATATTTTTATTTCCTTTAATAGTTTATTCTGGTATTCTTTCTTCTTCTAATATTTTCCACTGTTTATCCCTATTCACCATATTATAAGCGTTTTAAGTCTATGAATATCATAGGTGTTGGTAAGTTTCTTTCATTTCTTATGTCTAGTACAGTGTGCACTGTGAAAATAGCATCCTTTGTCCTCCTGACCTTCCTGAATCTACATTGCTGTTCACCCAGGAAGTTTTCACTGTACTCATTCATTCTCTTCCTTTATATGTTAGCAAATATTTTTGTGGTGGTTGGTAGTAGTGTCTAGTTGTGGCAATTTATTTTTATTCCTTTCTTTTGGATATTTTTTACCAAACCTGTTTGCCATTCTGTTGAGGTAAGAATCTTTGTCCATATTTTGTTAAATCGTTCTGTCAAAATCACTGTTAATTTAATATATTCTGGGTCTTTTTCAGTTTTTAGCGTACTTCAAGTTCTTTAATTGCTATTTCTTCCACTGATTGATTTTCCAGAAATGAGGTCATTTTATGTTTGGGGTTGTCTTTGTTCCATAATTTTGTGTTATGTTTTATCCGCTTGGTCTCTGGTATTAGGTCTATGTTCACTTTATACCTTGCTTCAATCCCAAGCATTCTCAGTCTTTTAAAGCCGACTCTTTGTGGTCCAGTGGTCTTTTTCTAATGATTTTGCAAATGTCCCCAGTCTTATTTTTATTTTATTTGTTTCTGTCCTTGTTTTTGCTCTTTACTTTTTATATTCTATGCAGCCTTTTTTGTATCTGTGTCTTTGGAATTTCGTTCGGGCCTCCTTGTTTAGAATGATTTTTTGTATTTCTTCATTCCAGGATCATATCCACTTTTCCTTTTTTGTTCTTGTAACTCCTAAGCTTTCCGTAACTACTTCGTGCAATAATGCACGTTTTAGAATTGTCCAGAATATTTCTAGGTTTTGTTTATTTAATTTTTGTAGTGTATCTTCAAGTTGTTTTTCATATAAATATCTAACTAACACTTCCGTCTTCTAACAGTGTTGGCGATTGATTTTAATTTTGTTTTCAAGGAGGTAATGATCAGCGCCTAATTCAATTCTTCTGTAAACTTAAGTGTCTTTTTTTTTTTTATCGAGAGGGAACCGCCATGGCTCAGTGATAGGGCACTCACTTCCTGACTTGGAGGATCATGTTCGAATCCCAGCATAAGCTGAGTTTTTTATTTGGTGCTTTCCATTCAGGGCAGCTATGGGGTCCAGCTCACTTCCGAGTGAATACCAGGATCTTTCCTGGGGGTAAAGATAGCCAGAGTGCTGTGCTCGCCACCTTCCTCGTGAGAACGGTGGAGAATAGGTGGAGACCTATCTTCATCTCCTCCACCTACTTTTACTTTACCAAGTAAATCTATGCTCACAATGACATAATCAATAATTATTGATTATGTTCCTCTTCCTTCCCATGTAAATCTGTTTTAATTTTAATATTATACATCCATTAAAGATAAATCAAGAAGTTAGAGGCTGTTGTAACATTACTGGGTTAATTTTAGTTTTAAATTTGGCAATTCTGCAATCATTTTAACACCTTTGTGCGTTATTCTGAATCTTGGGCATGATAGAAACTACCCTGATGAACCACAAGTGTTCTGGATGGTTGCTATTATTACTATACGAAAAATAAAATATTAATCAACAGCTGCAAATCAACATGCACAAAATAGGCTTGTAATGAATCTTATGCTTTTTTCTGTAGGTAGAAATAGAAATATCATGAGTCCGGTATTTCTATGAGATGTGTTATTGTTACTTGAAAATATTGAAATTTTTTTTTAACTTTATTTTTATCTAAATGTATTGCTACAGTTGATATAAAAGTTTTTTTAAATTTTGCCAGAGAGCTCGTATCCTTTATCTAACATTATTAGAATAGAAAAACATTGTGAATATGAAACATATTGCTTTGTGGAATACATAACATAAAATCTTTATTTGGTATTATGTTAATTTTGTAATTCATACTTTCTGCTTCCAGATTGACATTTTGTGCAATGACGAACTTCTTGGGAAAGACCATACACTAAAATTTGTGTATGTTACCCGTTGGAGGTTTCGGGATCCTCCCTTAAGGTTGCAATATAGACCTCGGATAGACATCTGATTTTTCATTGTTTTGAAGAGGTTAAAGATTTGTGTGTGCGTGTGTGCATATGATTATTGTATAGAGATGTATATGTCTGCAGAGTTTTATGAATGATTGTGTGATTTGTTCTTGTTGCAACTGTATTTTTATTGTGTTAAATTTCTATATAACTCGTGTATTTTTACAATATTTATAACAAAAACACTGAGTGCCGGTATTATTCAATACCATTTGTGGATGGCAGCATCTGATATATCATTAGAAATCAAGTCATTAATGCAATTTGGCTGTCTTTTTGAAGTATTAAATGGTGTTCAACATATTGTTGACCTAATCTTAAATGCAAGAATAGTTCTTCAAAACTTTATTTTAAAAATATATTAGTCAAATATTGAATCTCTGAAGTTTTGTGATGTGATTTGATATTTCATCAACAATGGTTCAATTTTGTAATCAAACATATGGCATTCTCCTTTTTAGGTTTCTTTATTATTCAGACTTAAATATTCAGTTAAAATTTTCTGTGTGTGTTATGCTAAAACATTTACTCAGGGGTTAAGTTAATTGATGCATAACACAGATTGAGAGATTTAATTTATTAATTGTTCACGATCATTGAGAAAGGGAAAAATGATTTTGGTGATTGAAGCGAGTCTGTGGTATTCTGCTATTCAGTACTTTCAGCAAGTAATTACTTTTAAAGTATATTATCTATTATAAATTTTTAACCGAGAAAGTTTCAGACAAGAAGATTTTTCCTTTTCTGATGAAATTCTTTCATTTTCTTCATGAGGTATCCAGGTGACTGTAAAAGCTGTTCATCCAACCAAGTTTGGGGTGTCTCGTGGTTTGCAGAGGGTGTCGTAATGACTCAGGCCATAGATGCCTTCGACTTTGTTTAATTAGCAAAATTGCTAATAATATGTAATATTCCTCTCTATATGAGATAAATATTAGTTTGACTCTTGTCTTCAATTATTCTAATGACACCTTTTTCCCCAAATTGATTTTTATTCAAAATTGTACATACTTCAAAATATGTTTATTACATTATGGAAGAGAATTTCATTTGCAGTAGCTCTTCTGTTGCATTGAACCTTTAGGTGTTGATTTTCCTTTGTTGACACCATTCACTACTTCTTTTGGACAAGTTATAGCATTGTCTAAGTCAATAAAACTAGTACATTTTTATTTCTCAAACAGTTTTTTATGTATCAGAGGTTTGGCAAACATTAATTAAACATAACAGTAATTGAATTTTCATGGGTACAAAGGCAAACAGTTTATAAGACATGAAACTAAGAGCTTAAATATAATATTTTCTTGTATAAACAGTACATTTGTAGAGATACTCGTGTAACATTTATGCCCTGTAAATTAAAAAGAGATTTGTAATCCAAACCAGAAGTTATAAGGAATCTTAAATTATATCATATTTTATGACACTTTATTTTTGTATTTCCTATTTTTCTGCCAGTTGTTAATTGCATTATTTTGATTTATTGAAGAAAATTTATACCGCAAAGTATTTTTATTTTATTTCTTAATTGACAATAAAAATACTGAAGGAAACTATTTTATGCCACATACTTCATTTTCAGCATTGTAAAGCATGTGGGTGTTTTAAGTGAAATTTAGATAATTTTATAGAGATATTTCTTGTTACGCCATCTTTTCCAGTGTACTGATTTCTGTTTTTTTCATTGTCAATGAAATTGTTTGGTAACATATTGTGATGTTGTTGCCATCTTTACTTAGTACATGCAGAACATTCAGACTTAATTTCACTGTACATTGATGTAATAATAATAATAGTCTCTTGAGACTGACAGTATTTCTCTCATTATTGAAGAGTGAGGCATTTATTAAAAACACATTCTGTGTATTTCTGTGATGGGTATTTATGCAGATGGTTTGTTTTTGTGTTGCACAAGCATTGCTGGTTCCAGTAATATAGGTGACGTAATTGTGTTTCATGTGGGAAGGTACACTGGAACATTTGATTCCGTTTTTCTCCTATTTATTTGTGATGTATTTAGTACATCTACTTTGATGTTGTCATGTCTTCTCAGTGGGTGTTATTTTGAAAAATGAAGTACACTTTTTTTTTTACTCAAAGAGGATTAAGAAGTAGCAGACAATAAACATAAAATATTTAAGGAAAATTCAACAAATATCTTCAGCCTTTTGTGTGTACATAATTGTTTGTTGTGTGACACCTGACTGGGTTTTGTATCATGTACGAAATGGTGTGTATGGCACAGGTTTCTATCATTCAGAATTCCTGGAACATTTGCATTGTGCTCACTTTCTTCATCAACAAGATCAAAAACTTGTTGGGAGAATTAATTGTATTTATTTTTCACCAGTTATTGTATCACAATTTCTGTGCCTACGTATGCTTGATCATTAAAGTGTATAAATATGCTTTTTTTATATTTTCTTGATATCCCATATTTAACATGACCATTTGTTTGTCCTTCATTTCTCTATTTCAGAAGTGTAGTTGATTAAAAATATTTATACAACTAAATAGTGTATCGAGCACAACAAGGAAATAGTAAATCAAGTAAACAACTAAATAGAAGATGACTTTGAGTCCTTTTCCACTTTGCATTCCAGATTCCCCTCCCCTAACACGATTTTAAAAGAGAAAATTCCATTTCGATTCAAAACTCATAATATCTTATTTAATTTTTCAGCTCTCGGATTGTAAGACAAAATGAACAATATTTGCTTAAAGAAATTAGCCACTTGGGTTTTCGTTATGTACTGCATAGTTCGATGTAAGCGAAATCGTTTGGAAGCCAAAGAGCGCCCGACTGGCGCTACCTCCGGCGCTCGGTGCCCTCCCAGGAATTGAAGCACACTCTGCTCCTTTACTCATCTATGCTGTCGCTTCAACGCGCCTCAGCACGAGTCGTCCGGGGCGGCAGCCAATGGGTAGAGCGCTTTGGTTTGGCCTCCGAGCGCCGCGCCGCGGGCTGCGGGATGGCCCGAGGGGAGCCCTGTTTTCTGTCTCCGTCTCACACTACAACTTAATTTTATGAATTTTGCGTGTTATTGAAACTACACAAGTTACGACGATATTGAGTGCTTTCTTTATGATGTTTGGATAATTCATTTTCTTTTGATGTTAGAGTTTTTATTCAAAACGTACAGTTGTGTAAAGTTGACCGTTCTGGAAGGAAGTCCCTTACTGTGTCTCACGGTGAGTGCATATTTTCGGCGGAATTTCATGATTACAAGATATACCAGGATAGTTAAATTTTCGAAATATAATAATTTCATGAAAAACGTATTCAAGCAATAGTGCTTGTTGCAAAGTGTTGGAGTAAGATCACCATATTTTCGATTTCTTATTTTGTTTCGTATGAATTCGATTACCGACAATTGTCTCAGCGCAGAACTAGTCGTTGAAGTTGTAAGATGGAGCGAAGTCGCTCGTCTTCACCAAGGAGGACGGGATTCGATTCCCGCAAATTAGTATGTGAAATTTGTTCCAACAAAACGAATTTGGTCGCTTCAAAGGACCAACCCCCTGTGAAGTGTCCTACACCCTAGCCCTATCCCAATTCTGGCCGCCGAGTAGTGCCGTGGGAGCGCGTACGCAGAGACGCTACTGGGCGGTCCTCTTGACAACTGACTCCGACGAGGCGTGACATATAATGACTTACACAGGCAATGGAGGATTATTCTGAAGCGCTCCAATTAACGGAGGGTTACTCCTAAGCGCAAAGCCCTCAACGCCCCCCGTTCGGAGACGCGGTGCGTCCATCCAGACGCAGCAATTCGAAAGCGAGAACCACGTGCACCTGCCTCGGACACAACGCGTAAAGCTATGTAAGCCATGTTTCATTGTAGGAATTTACTTACCTTCGTTTCAATCAATATACATGCATTGCTTACTTTTTTATTATATATCAGTGTTCTAAATTTTGGAAATTGCATTTCCGTCATTCAGTGGAGGGGCAACCGGCAGTCAGTTCGGGTCCCAGCCTCACTGCGATGAAACGACGGGTCGCTATCGCTGAACTGCTCGGATGCTGTTGCTGTCTAGAGCGGTTTAGATATTGGATCAGTCGGATGGGAAAGGGTCTTCGTTAACGTTGCCACCCCATAAGATAATTCTCGTTTCATAGCATAATTTTGCGATGTAAAGCATGTGCGATAGTGCAAAATGGATAGCCCCTTTCGAAGGATACTTTCAAGAACAAAATTGTATTCTAATGTTAAATTTATTTGTATAAATTGATATTTTGAAAACTATCATTTTAAAATCAAGGGAAAGCTCAAACTAATAAATGTTTGTAATTTCATCGGCATAGAAGAGTGTGTACGCATTAACGCGTATCCTATATTGTAAGGGAGGACTAAATTGTTCAGGGCTGTGCGATTCATTGTTTTAAAATTTCAGAGGCTCGCTAATGGTAATGACAGCTAATGGATTAACCCATTAACAACTATGGTCCCCAGTTGGGGACTTTTTTCATTGTTGCGTTATATTGTGTACTATAATTTGCGAATTTTATTTCTTCAATAGATGGAAAGTAAGCATGTAACCTGCGCAGCAAGCAGTACTATCGTTCGGGGTGTCTTCCCAAAAAACCAGCTAGAATCAGATCGTGGTCCACCGTGTCGGGCTTCGCTGATCTTATCATGACCCCGCTCGCACGACTCTCCTTTGACCTTCCGTTCTTGATGGCTGTGTGTTTTAGGGGATGGGGAGGAGTGAAATTGCATAGTGCAGCCTGCAACATTTTTTTGTGGCACAATTCTTGGTGACTGACGTATCTAGTTGAAAACTGTATGAATAAAACGTCTGTTTTGCGATCCAAACAACCGAAGAGTCAAGTTGGTGGGCCAGGGCCCGGCAACTCTCCACCAAAACTGGGGACAAAGCTCGAGGTTGCTACTATAGGAAGCGCTAGTGTCGCCGGGTGCAGCTGCAGGTTAGGCTCGCCAACTTTCCCACATACAAATTTGCTAATTTGTGAGAAATACGAAAAGTGTCTTATAAATGTACTATTATCCAAAATCTATACTTATAAGAAACCTCTGAAGAATGCGCGAACATATACGTTATCTTTTGCAACATTATGGGCCTGCTTGCGACCCGCGAACTCACGCAGTAGCCACGCACGTTAAAAGTATCGTTGGCAACAGTTCGTATTTTAGTTCATGTAAAGAAGGTGATGCAGCAGAGCGCGCCACCGTAATGGTCTCCACCACGTTATATGGGAGTTATAGGGCCCTGTGGTGGGCGCTGTGCGCTTCGCGTGATCGGCGCCGCGGCCGCGAGGAGAGGAGAAACTCCCGCCGGAGTCGTCGGAGCGGGGCGCAGGAACCTAAGCCTCCCGCCAAAACATTCACAATTTCTTCAACAAAAAATATCAACTGATGTCTCCACACTCGACGCCTCTGACCGGCAGGTCCTAGGTTGGAGATGTCCGACCCTGGCTCGTCCGCGAGGTCGAATTCAGTCGCTGCCTTCAGGAGAACCCTAGCGACCGACCGCTTCGATCCGGAGTTTTCCGATCCACACGAGGCGAATGCCGGAGCAGAACCTTAACAAAGTCTACGAACCGCGCGCGATCTTTTCTTCCCCTTCCATATCTTCAACCCTTACGTTACACTAACACTAATATGCACTACACTATAAAACACTTACACCAGAGGTGGCTCCTGCTTAGGTTGCACACCCCCAGATGATCAGTTAAGATCCCATAATATCTTAGGAATATACATTTTCCTTGTAATGACATTCAATATTCAAGATATTGCAGCAATATCGATGTATATAAAATCCTTTGAAACCAAAGAGCGTCCTGCTGGCGCTCTCCGGTGTCTGGTGCCTTGCCAGGTATTGCATTACGCCCATAGCTGTATTACTGGGTTTACTGCATTTACGTACTCTTTGACCCTTCGATTTAACCCGGGCAACACAGGGCTTTTTGATGACGCGAGTGTCTTGTGGAAGTCAGTGTGCCCGCAGCTGCACGGCCAGCAGTTTCGAGCGTTCTTGTCAATACGAATGTGTGTCGAAGCTCTTTCATTATTGCCACATGTTCCAGGGTAGTGAAGTTTTCGAAATAAAATAATTTTATTTGTGTAAAACATGTCGAAACAATAGTCCTTGTTGCAATGTGCTGGAGTCGAACTTAAGAGCCCAGTGAAAATCAAAGTCAGAACTATGTGCGCTGGAGATGTATATACCTTATTCGAACACGACGCGCAAAAATGGTTAAGTAACGTTGCAATATGTAATTTTATTTGATACCCCGTCATTTGATAGAGGCGCAACCTCCAGACTATTGGGGCAGCAGCCGCCACAGACTTACACTAACATGGATTACACATGCCGGGAAATCGCTCGGGAACTTCGAGCTTGTTCCGACCGGGGCAGTACCCCGCTGGTGGGAGATACCTGGTTGAGGGAAACCCCGCTAGAGACGACAAAGTAATGCTGTTTTAGTACTACTAGTTTTAAAATGAAAATTAATACCAAGAAGTTGTAATTGAAGCTAATAATGCTATTAATAAAAAAATCGAAATAATATTATAATGATTTTCAAAATATAGTTCTTAGATCAAAGATGGTGTTTAATATTTGTAATGGATCATGTTTCCAGAACAATTTAAAGGATGTCACTACGTGTACTTCTTGCCATTCGTCATCACAGATTATTTAGGTTGCAAAAACCTTGAAAATCATTGCGTATTGAAAAAGCTGCATTGCGCAATCTGTGTAACATTGAAACTGAATAAATTCACTTCATCCATTTGAAGAACCATAATCAGACATAATTCAACGATTGAACGATGAATTTAGTACGTACCTATCAAAAATGTCTCTTAATTCCTCCAACTTAGATGGCTCTAATTTAAAAAGTGCATAAAATATGAGTACATTTTATTGATGATGATCTCTAAAATGATAATTTAATTCACATTTAACAATTAATTGCAGGTTTATAGTATTTTAGAGGCATTGACGTTAACATTTTTTGCATTTGATGGGACATTTAAATACTGCCCATGTAATTAATATGAAAGGCATTTTTATGAACTTCTGCGAACTGTTAGAGAAATGAGGCAGATGCTTAGAAAGTGAAATCAGTTTCACGGGGAGCAGCTAGTCTCTCTTTCCCTTCCACCATGCTAGTCGATTTAAACAGTAGCATTTTATGACAGCCATGTTGACATTAAGTATTCATTTTAAAGAAGAGTACACAAGAAGAAAATAAGTGTGTATCAAAGTAGTATTTCATCAAAGAAACATTATTTTCAGAAAAGAAATGTATAATGTTCCAAATGGATTGCTATTAAAATGGAGCTTTGCGCGGTGTATGATACATGATAAAATGCTATGTACTCTGTTGGTAGTACATTATCGGTCGTACACAATTTTCTGGAGAGTTTGGACCGAAAAGAAAAATTTAGATTTGATTGTGAAAAATAGAGACGCTAATTCTGTTTTTGTCATTTCGTTTTCTCTTGTGCTATCGGCTCTTTGAAGTATCGACGAATATTTACGAATCCTAACAATGTCTCGGGATGTTTACTTGGTCAATTCCCTTAATTTATGTCCCTTGATTTGAATATTTCACAGCGTGAAAATACTCGCTTCACCAGCAATTATGCGTGTCTGCTTTTGGAAGCCTTAGAACGTTGTGAAAATAGAGCGTACTCTCGTTGGTTGCGCGGCGAGAAATTGTTTGTTTGCCTTTTCTTCAGCTGTTGCCTGCGCCGCCGGTCTGCAGCATTCCGTGTGGTCACTCGAGCTACTAGCCTCGGCCTTGGGCAAGGTCGTGGAAATGAGGCCTGTTTTGGATCGCCTCTGGTCAGTGGGCTTGAAAAAACAGTCGTTTAATTTGGAAAAATAACAATAGATGCGCCCTGGCCGACCTGGCGGCCGAGGTGGCTAGAGCGTGTGACGACCCAGCGCCTCGTTCAGAAGGGCCGTTAGTTCGAGTCCCGCCGTGCGCGTGGTGTTTGTACCTTGTCTTTCGAGTATGTGTGTTGTCTCACGAATGAGAGCCTTGTGAGTCTCCTGATCACTGACCGAGGGCCCCGCCAGTGTGTCATTGTCTAGTGTAAAGGTTATTATGTGCCCCCATGAGGGAAATAGTAGGTACCTGGCGCGGATAGTGGAAATCGGCATCGCCCTGAAGCTGGAGAAAAAAAGAAGATAAAAAGTAGATAAGCACTGTAGTTAGTGGAATATTCGAAATAGACCTCGTGTTTAAGGCAACATAAAGGCGGCTCCCGAGAAGAGTGGACGAGGTGCTTGTGATTCGCCCTGCCCTCCGTGTGTCGGTCTTTAGGACACATCAACGGAAGCGAGCATTCGACGAACGCCTCAGCTGTAGCTCGGAGCCGCCTTAGCTCATCGCGGCACAATGCCCCGTTGCGCGCGCGATGGATGCGGAAGTTGAAGCACGCCGCAGTCACGTCACTCGGACGACGCCCTCGTGGGTAAGAACGCAAACACTTGCTGCTTCGCACAACGCTGGAAGAAACAACCTGTTTTGGGCAGCTAAGCGGATGAACGAAGATGGCTCTTCAGCAAACATTCGTGCGTCGATGCATAGATGTTGAAGAGGGGTGTCTGTGTGTGTGTGAACGGCATGTGATGGTTCAGCATGAGATTCGGCTCACAGGAGCGGATGCAGAAAGTATTTCAAGGGAGGGGGTGTAACTTTAATATTGACCGGGAAATAGGAGGCGAAATGAAATTTGCCTTTCATAAACATTTTGGAAGTTGCGGTATTTTTATTGTTTTATTATTTTAAAATGTGTATTCATAATAAAAATACTTTTTTGGAATATGATGAATACACAATAATATTTTTTTCGAATAATGCGTAAAATTAAGCAAAAAATGGTAATCCTCCCCGTGGTTCCTCTACTCTCAGGGATGTACAAAAGATTTGATGCGCATCGCTCGTTCATTCTCCGTTTTGGAGTCAGAACTGCGCCGTGAGCTCGCTATAAGATCGCTGACAAATGCACGTAAAGGGTCTCGGTGCGCACTTAATTGCGATCCGCGAGAGCCAAGGTGCACCACGCCGTTGCCGTCGTCGTCGTTCACTGCAATGTCTCCGACCGCGAGGGCCTAGGTTCAAGTCCGGCGTTGGTAGCAGGATTTTCGACACCAACTAGATACCGAGGTCGAGGCCAGTCTCAGTTCTGGCGGGCGGCTGCTCTCGTCCGTAGTCGTCCGGGGTTTCTCCGAACAATACCAAGTGAATGCCGGAGCAGTACCCTAACAAATGGGCCACTACCTCATAAGTCAGGAGACCAGACGGGGGCTTAGGTCTTGCTCCGGCTGGGACGGCGCCCCGCTGGTGGGAGGTACCTGGTTGGGGAAACCTCATTAGCCAGCGGCGCCGGATCGCCTCCAACGCTCGAGGAAAACATGCCCTACACTTACGGCACTAATGACCTTAGTAATTGACGCGCCGGAATCACGAATCAACCTCCCAATCGCCGTCGTCAAGCGGCCCCTCCACCGCCCTCCACCTTTATTTAAAACATAGAATTTCCCCCAACACCAATGGTCCCCGAGTAAGTCTTAATGAGCAGTGGATGTGTGTGATGGAGACTGGGGAACAGACCTGATGCCGTATCTCAGTCTCAACTCCCATGCTTTCGGGTAACCCTTTAAGGCCCGCGCCGAACGGACGACGCCAAACTTCCATTCTCAGCTTCACTTTCTAAGAAATCTGATTTGAGCCGGTTAGTCGATACCGAATACCCTGCCACCAGTGCTTGCTCTGCCGCCTGTGAGTCAAAACTTTATTTTTTCGTTTCTAGTTAATTGTGGGCCGTCCCTTTTCTCTCTCCGCACGTCTTGGCTTGTTCTGCACGCAAATTGATAGTCCCCAATTGATTTGACTGATGTTGCGGCCCTTTCAATTTTAAACGGATATATTGATTTTTTTTGGGGGGGGGGGTACATGAAAGCTCAACATTTTCAAAATTATCTAAAAAATGTCCCATTTTTCCTCTCTCTTAGGGCAAGATACGCTTAAAGAAATGGCGAAGGTCGTATATTCGTTGCCATCCCTGAATTTTCGAAAATTGCAAAAGTTCAAATTTTGTTCTGCGTGTTCTACAACTCTAATAATAAAGAGAGATTATTTTTCCTGTTGAAATCTGTTAATTAAAAATATCTTCAAACCAGATCGCGTTAAATTTTTCGAAAATATGAGTCATTGTTGCGTAATTTTACGTGAAGCAGGCAATTTTTAAACAATTTTAACAATTATTTTCTCAAATACTGCTCCAAATCATTTCTTTAAATGTTTTACTTGTATGTAACAAATAACGGAAAAGAAACTGGTGCTAGCCCAATTTCCGGCAAACACTCGTGTTTTCGAAAATTGCAAACAACAGCAACGAAAATTGAAGATTGCAAAAGTCCAATATTGATGATTTTTTGTTCAATGAAATATATTTTAAACAATCAGTACTTTAAAGTGGTATAATAATACATGTACATATTTTATAAATATTAGTAATTTAGAGTAATTTGGCAAATTTCCGCACATAATTTGCTGAAATCTTTTATATGTTTATTATCTTGCGATGTAACAATGGAAAGTCGCGACACGGCAGTTTGAAATTCTCAGAATAACTTCTCATTGTTGAGTGTTATTCTGACAAGTGTGTATATATACTCTGGTGTATCCCTTCGTCGCCGTCTTCGAACGACACTGATAGACCGTACACCTAACAGGCGTTCCGAGTTCAAGTTTCTAATCTGTTCAAGTTGGGTTTTAAATAAATTAAGCTGAATTTGCACATTCGAGTTGAAATAGCTGATACAATTTGGTAGTGTATTGAATGGTGATCTATGCGTTCTCTTCCTTCTTCACCTTTTTCTGTCAAACTGTTTCTCCTTGATGCGTCTGGAAACAAGAAACGCTTCATAAACAGGTTCAGTGAAGGTGAGATAACTGTGCGGTGTCCTTGGAAGACGGCGGAATGAACTAGTCGACTCTGCACTCGGACAAGTTTCATAAGATAATTCGTGTAAGTCCGGTCGTAATCACGATCATTTTACCGATGTGTGACATGCTGTGACATTTTTATTAATTGCAGAAATTAAGAAAAGGAAAGGAAAACACTGAAAAAAAATATTATCTTCATGATACATAAGGTTATTGTACTACTGTCATCTTTTTATTGTCATTTGATTGTATTTTTGTATATTTCCTGGCAACAAAGGATTTTTTGTCAATATTATTTAGATGCAGAATAAAAATTCAAATTTGTCATCTTTAAATAAATTAATAATTATGTCACACTAAAAACATCACTTAAATTATTTATTAAAGGATTTATGACCTTGCGGATACCACTCATTTCGTAAAAAAACCAATTCTCAATCGCGCTGCCTGTTTTCTTGCCCATTTTTTGACAATCATAAACTTGTAGATACAAGTTCTCGCTGTATCTTTTTTCGCCTTCTTAATTTAGTGCCGATGGAAGACAATTTGGAACAATAAACAATCTTAATGCCCTGATAGTACTGAGAAGAGTAGAAGAGTTTCTTGGCAATTCCCATTTTTTCCTCGCAAAATGAGTGAGTCTCTTCATTCAATTTTTGAGTACTCAAAAGGAGTGAGAGTATCCTGATTTTTTTTGAATTTTTTAAAATAAATCAGTATTGTATATTTTTGTTATATCAATACTATAAAATCGCGATATATAGTTCATAATTTTTTGTCATTTTTACCATTACCTTTACCTATATTTTCAAAACGGCAATGACGGATTTGCTGTTAAATATTATTTTAAAAGGTTTTATATAAAAATGACAGCGAATAACGCGTTTTACGTTCTGTACACGTTCGTGCCTCGTATGGTTGCAGAAGGTTCTTTGTACTACGGAGAGTGTTGCGTAGGATTTCATAAGTGAAAGTTGACGCGTAGAATGACAGCGAGGAGAAATCTCGCAATTCCGGAATTCGTAAGACTTCAACAGTGTTGTAGTTTTTGACTCTTATCCAATAGCTTGTTTTGGATAGATGTATTTGATGCGTTGATAGAAAAGCACAGTTCTGTGATAGGAAAGTGAAAAGAGCGAGGAATCCATTTCTCCGAAGCGGAACGGGTTGAACGTGCTTTTGTGAAGAGAGCGGGAAGCGGTACCAAGCTCCGCCTGCGATCTCCGGAAATACGACTGCATCGAAAAGAATCGAAAGTGAGAAAGGAGTCGAGAATAGCGAAAGTGTCGTCTGTGTCCTAATTGTGCTGATTTTTCATAGTGAAACTTTGCACAATGTGATCTGCTTTTTGTGATTTTTACTAATTACGTGATTGAAAATTCGTTCGTAAGCATTTTTTTGCGCTAAACGTCTTCCGTACATTCATTGTAACCACAAAACACTCGAAATATAGTAAAAAGTTTCGAAATTTCTTCAGTATTTTCTTTTTTTAAATTACTGAACGTGTTTAAAGTACAGGCGAAAATCGCTGTACCGAAGTGCGATACATTAAAAGTGTGCTAGAAGTTTTGACACGTGACTTAGAATTAAATGACCTTGAGAGAAAACATTACGGTTGTCACCCCTCTGTTTATTTACCATTTTAATCAAGCTGGAGAACATTCTGAATGGTAGATACTTGAGCCTCGAAGACAACATTTTTGTGGAAAATGTTATTGCTGATATACAGCGTTTTGTGACGCTAGGAGAAGGAAATAAAAAAAGGTAATGTGTAAGGTTTAACTGTGATCAAATGCATATTAATATAGCAAATTTCTGTCAGTGAGTAAATGATTGGATTCCACATTTTCGAGAAGTTTGTTTTGTAACTTAGCGCCAATGCCGTTTGAAGACCAGGAAGAGAAGACTGCCTGCTGCCTGAAAGAGAAAGTCATAGTGCAACGGCAAGCCTTATGTCAGGGTCTGATCCACTTTTCCTCTCAATTCACTTTCAGTGTGCTGATCTTCCCCCCAGTGAACAACTACAGGCGGTTTCTTATACATAAAGTGTGTGAAGAAACACAGTCAAAGGAGTTGAGTACATTTTCTGTTGGCCAAGGTGTCAATCGGAGGACAGTTGTTTGTTTGAGGAGCCTTGTAAGGTAAGATGTATCCTTGAATAGGAAGTGATTGTGAAAAATTCTATTTGGGTATTGAAATAGTGTTATTGTGATATTAATTCCATTTTAATGTGTTCATTACTTTGCAATAGTTAAAAATTGTTTAACATAAAGTATTATTTGTTAAATTAAATATAATTAGATACAAGTAAATACCATGTTAGTCTGTAGATCAGTTTTATTCGATTTACAGGAAACCAAGTGTATTTAGTAACTCTCATGACCAACCTTTGCAAAACGTAAGGGACCAAACATTGTGCACCATGGTTGTGGAAAGGCAACCTGTTTTACCAGATAGTTCATCACCAGAACATAATAATCATAATGGTAGTGTTAAAAGAGGTTGGTAAATTAACTAAATGTTATTTTTCTTATAGTAAGAGACTATTATGAAACTAGTTAACTGTTTTTAATTTTTTTGAATGTGGAATTTATAGTACGAGCTGCACCTGCCATTTATCGGCCACCTGCTGCAAGGAAATTGGAAGCTCTTAGTGCTCAAGTCAAACAGAACCACAGCATTACTCCAACTCCACAAACCCCTCCAGTTACGACAGTTGTTTCCAAGACTGACAAAATGAGGTAAATAGTTCTTATAATAATTCTTAATAATAATAATAATAATATTAGTGGAGTTTTTAACATTGAAGTCTTTGCTGTGGTATATTTATGGGTTATAATGTTAAGAAAATTTGTGATGTATGTCTTAGGTCTGGAACAAAACAACGTCGTCCTGACCAGAAAGTGTATGTTCCCCGAGCAAAACGTGTTTCTATGATGGATCAAAATTCATCCGAACTTCGAAATAGCCAAAATGAAATTGTATCGATCAAACAACAAATTTGTGGTACTAAGAAAAATGCACTTGCATTGCCACTGAAGTCCCAAAACACAATAATTAGTTCCAGTTGTGAAAAACCATGCCATGTTATACTTCCTCTTGAGCAGAGTAATGACTGTAATAGTGAGCCAACTTTAAAGAAAATGGTTATTGAGGAGCCTGTGTGTGTTTCTATGGTGGGTCAAAATTCATCCGAACATCAAAATAACCAAAATGAAATTGTACCAATCAAACAACAAATTTTGGGTACTAAGAAGAATGCACTTGCATTGCCACTGAAGACCCAAAACACAACTATTAGTTCCAGTTGTGAAAAACCTTGCCATGATATACTGCCTCTTGAGCAGGGTAATGTCTGTAATAGTGAGCCAACTTTAAAGAAAATGGTTATTGAGGAGCCTGTTACTAAGGAAGGTCACAACAAAATAGTGTTAGGAAATTGTGTTGTTGAAAATATACCAGCAAAATGCTTTTTTGGTGATGAAATTTTTAATACTTGTGATAGTAATAGTGCAAGTATTTCAGTTGACAGTGATACAGTAGATGACTGTGGAGTGTCCTTTGCTAATACCAAAAATTGTGGGAAAACAAAAAGTGGATTAAAAGACCAGACCATGTCTCTGTCTCCTGACACAAATGAAAATAGTAGTGTTAATAGTGAAAATATTGATAAGTGGAAAGAAAAAAATGATAAAAATGAAATTAGTGATTCTAGAACCATTGTTAATGAAGTGTTTAAATGTGAATCTAAGCAGACTGTTAAAATGGAAGTCAATGATTATGAAGAATGCCATGAACAAGAAGAAAAAAATTCTTGTGAAATAAATCATAGTGTGGAAAATTCTTCACATTCTCTTTCTGTCAATGAAAAAATAACACAACCATCTATTTCAGCAGAGAATATCATTCCTGAAAATAAAAATCAAGTGAATAAAAAAAATAAAAAAATTGACAGGAGGAACTTGATATCAGATGTATTAATTATTTCAGACCCAGAACCTCCAGTTCAACATGTGCCAAAACAAGAAGATAATGTAAATAAAAATAATACTGTTGGTAAGAAGAATAAAGCAAAACCTAAATCTGAAAATAGTGTAGTGGCAGAGAAACTGACAAATAATTCAACCAGTACTGACAATTTAGATTCTTCCAGCACTTCTACTTCGTCTGTTTCACTGAATCCTGATGAATGTACTTGGGAAATGCTTTTTGATGAAAATGGTGATTGTTTAGACCCAAAGATAATGGAAGAAGTAAGTATACAAAGAGAAATGTGTTGTTTTTAATAGTCCCACAGTATGTTTATGTTACATTTTTTTTACAGTTAACAAATGCTGTTGGTTCTGTTACAATTGAGAAACCCCAATCCGATTATAATCGTTTTATCTCAAGGCCCGAAATTAATTTGCCTGGTGGTGATGGTGAATTTGCCCATGTTGTGGAGATTTATAATTTTCCTTCTGAATTTACGACACCAGATTTGCTCTCCATATTTGCTCCTTACAAAAATGGAGGTTTTGAAATTAAATGGGTTGATGATACTCATGCTTTAGGAGTATTTAGTAGCTCTCGTGTTGGTACGTATTATTTAAATTGACTCATTTAAATGAATTGTAAATATAAGTTCTGAAGGATGTTTTGTTTTTCAGCTGCTGATGTCTTAGCATATGAGCATCCATTTGTAAAAACACGCCCTCTATCAGAAGCCACACTAGAATCAAGGATGAAAGCACGGCGCTCCGCTGAATTCTTACAACCATACAGAGCCCGCCCAGAAACTTGTGTAGCTATGGCACGGCGTCTGGTAACAGGTGCCCTTGGAATGAGATTAGCCACTTCAAGGGAGGAACGCGAGAAAGAACGACGTTTACTCAAAGAAGCCAGAGGTCTGACATTTATTGTTTTGAATCCTTTCTTGTCCTTTTCTGGTTCTATTGCTTGCTTCAAACCATGACCACCCCCATAGCTTATTTGAGGTTTCCTAGATCAATGGCATAGGCCATAGGTTATCATCCCATCAATTGGCTCTAAAGGTGGTGGTGGTGGGATTGGGAACAGGATAAGGAAGAAAGCATCACACATGGCCCATGGTCTGTTTTCTAAGGATGCTGTTCTGTCATTAACATTAAATCAACCTGGGAACCTATGGAAAAAATTCACAGAGGTGACTATGATCCCGGCTGGTGACACAAAGTTAAACATATCATGCAAATCTTAGGCTCCTGGCAAAGAACGAACCCATGACTTCCCAGTCATTGGCATGCTTGAGCCAAAGCTTTGTCTTATCACTCGCTGTTAGCAGCGTTGATTTTGAATATTTACTAACGAAATTCCTTTTTTAACAAATGCATAAATTGACATCAATTAATCAGAATATGACTTCACTTGTCCAGGCTGTGTATGTGGTGAAATGTTATGCAGTTTTGTAAATGTTTAATTCATTTCCAAACAATTTCAATTTACTGGAAATAGCTTTAGGGTTTTGTGTTTCAGAGAAGAAACGGTTAGCAGCTCAGCAACAGCAGGATGCTTGGGAAGGAACTATTCGATGAGAGTGAGTGTTGGATTTGTTTAAATATATACTTACCACACCAGTTAAAGACCATAAACGTTATTTTTTATATTCAAAATATTATATATTTTTATGACAAATTTGATAGTATATGTAATGGATTTATTAATAGCTGGTAAAGTCGAAAATGAGAAATTATTGTGCAAAGAATATTAAGTGTAAATACCTAGTTTTGGGTTAATTTTTGAATTTAAAAAAAGTTATTTACAAAATTTTTGCATAAGCAGTTTTACATTTATTGTTTATATCGTACAACTTGCAGCTCATTTGAGAATGAATATTATTATTTAGTTATGAAACCTCACAAATGTTATTGTTCTTTTGAGTATTACTGCACTTAGTGCATTAGCTTGTATTTAGGAAAATTATTTTTGTTTTAAAACATAAGATGCCATGTTACTAGTCTGTTATTTATCTCTATGGCCATAATGATAATTCTCCTTGTGAGAGGTATTGATATTTTTCTATTTTCTGAATATTATAATTTTAGACTGTATTCCCTGGAATCAAAATTGACATTAAGTATAAGCATAATGTGCATAATATAAGCATATGTGTTTTTGTTTATTGTCTTGTTCTTGTCCATTTCTTTCTTCGATGATTTTTGTTTTTACATTGTCGAGAATGTAAGGTCTTGTTAAATGAATGTAAACTTTTTTTACTATTATTGTTAAACCTCAGGATGATTCAAATCTGAGTGTGTACTTTTATAAGTGTACCTCCAGGGTTCAGAACTGCTTCTGTTTTGAATACAAATAAGGCATATGTGCCCTGACTGGAGTATCATTAGAGTTACCATTTGAGGACTGTTTAGCTAAAACATTGTATTTTAATGGCAGTGATAGAATTTTTATGTAGTTTAATATGCGAGGTGTATTTAAAAATAAGTCTAACAAAATGCTACTCATTTTGCATGTTTTATTGTAATACAGATTTGTTGTATTGGTGCCAGTGGTGGTGTTAGGTGCAAAAGGATAGTTAATCAAAGTTAGTCACTTGCTGATAAAAGTTTCTCAGTATCGAGAAAACTTAATGAAATAAAATGGAGTCAGTTTTTCCTTGCTGATAACATAAAACAGGTGTTGACTAATAATCCAGACAAATTATGGTTCTAAAAGCAAGGAGGTAATACCAAGGCTAGCAACACAACTTTAGTTTGTTGTAGTTAATTTGTTTGTTTAATTTTCAATGCTTGCTTGTACTATTACTGTGTAACCTGAAAGACATACTACTTTGCTTATTGTTATTATTTAGGTATAAATTTCCATTGCAACATGTCAATTTACTAAAACTTGTGGAAGGACATTTCATATGATCTGAACATTAATATTATTTTCTTTCCATTAGAATATTTTTGAATTCTTCAAAATGTTAAATAACATTGCTTGTAAGTGTGTAGTTTGTATTTATAAACAATTTTTTTATAGAATGTTTGTATGTTTAGAGTTTGATTAGCAAGAGATTTGAAAGTTCTTGATCATGATGATGATGATGATTCAATGTGTTTCTTGTTATTGTCTATATTGTTGAATTTCTGTCAAATTAGTTGTCAGAAATACATTTCTTATCCTACTATTTTTTCTTAATGGGATTCTCTAATTCTCGAATTTTATTTTGTGTTATGTTTGAGAATTCATGTACTTCAAGAGTTTGTTATAATTGTTGAGGCTGAAATATTGGTACTACAGTAAAGAGTACTGCCCACTTAGTGAAGGAGTGTGATAATGTGTGTAAGTGGTCTGATTTTACAGAAATTCTACTTGTATTGTTTAAAAAAGTTAAACAAAGTATGATGATTTTAATTCCTGGAATTGATAAAAATAAGTCTGCTTACATATGAATTCATGTTTAGTGGCTTTTCTTATTTTAAAAGATGTTCCCTTAAATTCATCGCTCTTCTGGATTTGAACAGATATGTTGTAAACATTCCTAAAAATCATTTTCTTGCTTTGTCATTGCTTTGTCTTTATCATAGCATGTAGGCTTTTGAAATGTCATACATATTTTGAAATGGTCAAATGTCTCTTGAAAAGTCGGAGTGAAACTGGAGGGTAAAAACTTGGAATACATTTTTGAGGCTGAAAAGTCTTGTGAACTCTAAATTCATCATCTGCTAGAGCAATGTAATAATGAAGAATCCAGTTGTGTGGAAATATTTCTTAGTCTTAAATCTTCCAATAGAATGGTATTGCAATTTAACAGTTCTTGCCATTTTGATATTTTTTTCTCATTTAATCTGCGATTTAGAAGCGGTAAATTCCGACTGTCTATATTTGCCCATCCTTAGTGTTTAGAGTAAATGAATTTCTCGTAATAGTGTGGATGTCTCCCTAAGCACCTGTCAAAAACTCAAGTTATCTTCTGTTATACTTACTGTAGCCTAGGCAAAACAGATCTACAAGCAATTTTTCCTATAGTTGCAGAGCTGTTAATTCAATCAGCCAGATATCAAAATCTTATTTCTCCAACAGTTCATTCCGATACATTTTTATTTTATTTTCCTCTATAAACAGTAATTTGGTCTTTCACAAATGTAAGTACAAATTACATAATGTGAGAATCTAATTGCATGCACTTGTCATTATAGTGCTGCATCTGAACATTCCAGGAATTTTAAAAGTCATACCTAATATTACGTAAATGTCATTGCGTAACCAATTTATTGTTTCACCTTTACACCATGCTTGGATATTCTCTTCGAATCAATTGACTTGCGTTCCTGCCTCTATCCTTAAATTTTTATCTATTCTTAATTTTGTTGTTGGTTTGATAATCTACCAATTTAATCTTATTCATAGAGGACTTTAGTTTTTTGATTCACCTCATTCCCCCTGAGAAGGGATTTACTCATTTTTTTAAATTCTTACACTAAATAACTTTTCGTGATGAGTTGCGCTCTTCATTTCAAAACAATTTTAATTTTATATTTTGTGAATGATATAAAATATCTTAGGGTCATGCTAATATATTACCTGCAATATATTTTTGCCTGCATGGGATACTCTTAGTGGTTTCTCTTAAAAAGAAATGTACTTTTTTTTGTGAGGTGTAATTAAAGAACATGGTTGTATTTAAAAGATACATTTTTTCCAAATTTATAAGTCAGATTTTTTTGAAATGTTATATTTGAGGATAGTGATACCAAGGAGAAAGTTTGGATTGCTTTTTTTAAGTGTGTTTGTGTGCACATAGCAGCATAGTTTGTTGGATTTCTCCCAGAGTTGATTTCTAAAATGAGTTTTAATTATGCCCCCAGTACATACGCTACGAATGCCTTTATTTATTTTAATTATTTTTTAAAAATATCTTGCATAATATGTGGAAATGTACGGTTTTCTTGCCTAGATTAAACAATGCATTCATTTCTGGTGAGCATGTGTGTCATAAGTGTGTATTTTGAGTGCATCTTTTCCTAATGTTTATTTGCATTTTGTTTAAACATAACTCACAAGTCTGTAAAATACTCAAGTATAAATATCGTTATTAGAAAAATTATCAAATAATCAATACAATTGAAATTTAAGTAAAAAATTTCAAATATCTTTTGTACCAAAAGAAGATATAATGAATTTAAACTGGAGTTTAAACCAGTTCAATTTGTGTATAGTCACTTGTATTATAAATTAATACACAAAAATATGTTAGTCTTTTCTATAGGAGTAAAACAGTTTTAATTTAATATTTTAACAGAATATTTGACAAGATTTAAAAATCTAGTAATAGGACTGTAATTCTATTATCAATTAAAAATAAGTTAATGTACATTTCAGATAACTTCCACAATAGCTCCTATATGTACTGCTACATGTATGTGAAATCAGCCCACATGGTTTTGAAATTTTGTTTTGTATTATACGTATTTGTTAACAGTATATCATTTGTATAACTTGTTTCTGAAGTTATTACGGTTTACTGAAGATTAATGGGCTGGCTGTTTCTGAATCATTTGAACTTTTTTAATTCAAGTATTACAGACCTATTTATTTCTTTGACTTCAAAGTATCTAGTCACAATAAGAGGTCATGACATAATTGTAAGAATTGTGCCTGACTAAAATACAGTATGATGATGTCCCAAGTATAATATTTTTTAGTTACCAAACAGTGTCTTAGTTCTAATGTATCATTTAAGCCATATTATCATATAAAGAAAAATTATATATTTGTAGTGTATTTTGTGTGATTTTTTTTATTGTGCTGCTTTTATCTTAGGCTTTATGTAAATAATTTTTGTGGTTGTGCAATTTATGGAAGTGTGCGATTAAGAAACTTCTAATTTTGACAAATTACATAAATATTAAGCATGTGCCTTTGTATGAATAAAAGAATTAATTACATTAACTTGACAGTTCTAGTATTGGTCCAAGTGCAGTGTAAGCAAATTGTTACTTAATTTTGAAAGTCATAGTAATATGAATCTTATGGATAAGGATTTTATTTTTAGTAGCTTCATAAACTATAGAATTTCACATTTTTTCAATGGGAATATTTTACCAGTACTTGAAAGATTTTGCTTACACAGTGCATTATTCTAAGAACTACTGACTTGTCAGTTAAAATTGTTTGTGATATTAGTGTGATATGTGAGAAATAGAGTGATGAGAAAGAATAGTTGTTTGTTTACTTTTTCGGCTTATTTGTTCCTCAGCTGTTGTTCCTTCCCTTTATTCTATAAGATCACTATTTTTTTGAATGAATATTTGAAGAGTATTCACACAAAATAAAGTAATATTCTCAAATCTTGATACAATATTAGTTATTAATAGGATTGACTTAATTGAGATGTTGACATGTGAACAGATGCATGTTTTTGAGGATCCCAGAATTCAAACCAGATGATGACCACCATGCAAGTTCAATTAAGAAAAATTCTATATTATAAAAATTATTGAAATTTCAAAATTCAGTTCAATTTATCTTTGAGCAAAACAGTCACTAATTGACAACTACTTTATCTTCAACATTCCTTATCTACATTAGGATCCGTTTCAGTTTCCAACACAAAGCTCAAGTTATGAAGTATGCACAGAACTATGCAAGATCAATAGTGATTTTTCCAGGTTCAATTACTATACCTGATTTTTTTCATCTTAAACACACATTCATAGAAGCTCTAATGAAATACTTTTAATTACAATAGTGACAAATAATTACATGCATGAAAAATTTGTTTAATAAACTTTTTTTAATGAACTTAAATACTATTACACATAATTATTTTTTATTGTATTTGTATGTTTATGAAGTTTTCAGGAAGATCTGAGCCACTTAGGAAGTCTGTCATCCACGTTTTATTAGCAATATCAGATTTCAAAGAGCTTTAGAAAAGAGATGGATAGTTACTAATATTTTGTTGCTGGCCATTAGTGATATTGTTTAAGGTTTTGAACATAATTCTAAATTTACTGTAAGTTCATCTTTGTTGGGCTAACACACCAGAAAGAGAAAACGAGAAAGAGGAAGAAAATTATGTACACACACACACACACACATATATATATATATACACACACACATGTGTGTGTGTGTATATACATATATCAGGTGTGTAAAGATAATAGTTTCTCACTATATAAAATTATGGATTGTTTTGAAAACTGTTTAATGGTCTATATAATAATATTCTTTCAAATGAAATTTATTTACTTTCCTTGAAAATACATATTCCATGCATAGCTATAAAACCAAGTTTTTAAAATAATGATATTATTGTTCATTATTCTTCGTAGGTATATTTTATAAAAGTTCCTTCTATACATATCAATCAACACAGATTCAATTGCCCAATACTATATTGGATTCAAAATTAATATAAGAAGGAAATAATATTTTATTGCACCCATGTTATAAACAATTACATTTCTTCCGATTCCCAAATCAAACCACTTCCTGCTCATCAAATGTCAATTACCATTTGCCACCTTTCTTCTTCTTCTTTTTGGGCTGTACTTTCCGTTGCTGTTGTCGTGGGCCTGTTTCAGGCACAGGACTCGCGTGTGGATTAGGTGATGCTTTGACTTGACTTGGCATCTTCGTAATATCACTGAAAAGGGAGAAACAAAGATGAAAGAGGATTATGGGAAATAGAATTATTAGAAGTAAACCAACAAACTTGAGTTAAATTATCAACTGAACATTCTACTTACTACATATCACTAGCTCCTGTTGCGGCACCCTGTGTTCCTTTGCCAATATCTTTATCTTTGTTCCTTCTGTCTTTTTTCTTACGATAACCTGTTCTCTCATGTCGAGGTAACCAACGTTCCGGATCTGGAGCTACATTAGGATCATAGTTTTTGGGAAGTTTTCCCTTTCGTTTACGTTTTGTTTTCTTCTTCTGAATAAGCTCATCCCCAGGGGTCCTATAGAGGGAAATGAAACAATAGAAATCATTAATGAAGACATTACAAAGTTCTTATTCTGATTTCTAGAATGTACCCACTCTGGTTTTTGCCCTGGAGATGGCTCCACTTTGGCAGCCTTTTTGATAACTTTGGTGCCCATCATCCAATTGGATGTTTCCAAAGCATCCACATCAGCTGCTCTTTCACTGAAATCTAGTGGTGGTAATTGTTTGCTCAAACTTTGAGCCTTTGCTGGATCAAACTTTATAAAACAAACCAATGAAATAATTTAATTCACAAATAACAATAGTACAATTTACATAACAATCCAAGAACTTTATTACCTGTGCATAAGCAATAACAAGCTGAGCTAGTGTTTTCTTATCAGATGGATTCTGACGCAACAATTCCTCCAAACTCTTGGCAGCAACAGCTGGTTCCCCACCTCGTAAATGAAAATCTGCAGCTTGCCTCCACAAGGTACTAAGATCTCCAGTGCTCACCTATAACAGATAGTCGGCTTCGTAGCGAACTTGCGATTTCTCTAATATTGAACCAAATGTTCGAGTAATTTACCTTATTCTTTCGATACCAATCTACAGCTGCTTTTAGGACATTTGAAGCACCGTCACGATTGTTATCAGCTAAATACAAAGTAACCAGAGCGCTCACAATTCCAGGTTTGAAAGTTGAATCACCCATGTTATGTAAAATTCTACACGCTTCTTTACGATCTCCCTGGACATAAAAATTTCATTGCGAGATTAAAACCTTTGAATTTAGGAAAAACTAATTTTTTATTAAACTTAATTCTTACATCAGACAAAAGCAACTGAACTGCTGCAAGCTTCATTTTCAACTGAGTTTCTTGATTACCAGCACTAAATTTGTCCAGAAGACTTGCTGCTTCCTTCGCTTTACCATCACGAGCCAGTTGAACAGCTCTGATCAGAGTGGCTTCAGCAGCCATGTCAGGGTATGTTTTCACTAACTTTTCACAAAATTGTTGGCACTGATCAGCCTGAAATTCACATTACATCTTAGAGACTGTAAGCTTTCATCTCAATCCTGTACAATGAATAAAATGCATACCTGGTTTGTGTAAAGTGTCAGCAGACATTGATTTAAAGCAATGTTCTTTCTTTGTCGTGTGGTCAACTTGTGTTCCAGACCTTCTACTGTAGCACTTTTGATTTTCTTCTTGGAATCAAAAACATTCTGATCTTTATTAATTGTAATGATATTGTTACTTGCTATTGCCACTAAACCAATATCATTTGGCTTCTGCTTGAGAGCAGCAGAATAAATTGATTGGGCTTCTTTTTCTCTATTTTGCAATTGGAGACAGTAAGCCAGTTGAACTCTAAAATATGTAATAAATAATTATAAAATATAAAACCATACACATGGACACACATTACACTACTCAACATTTTTAGTGTTTTATCTTCCTTGAGAAGAATTCACCTACTTAATAATCCCTAACTCGCTATCAATATCTTCTTCAGTAGATCCATCTTCTTCTAATGTTTCTCTGCAAAGTTTTTCCGTGGCTTTTAGCTTTCTTTCTGCCTCTTGATACTGTTTATGAGCAATGAGCTTACAAGAAGAATTATATGATAATTCATAAGTATGTTCTCTCAACTGGGGCAGGTCTTTAACCTGTATTCAAAGAGAAAACAATCCATTTGTAAAAACATTTGCTTGTGTTATTAACAAGTCAATTCTTGAAAAAACCACAATGATCTCTTCAGGTGACATCCTATAAAACTTATGAGGAGTCTTAGAAAGCTGTACAGTATTTAATTGATATTAACTCTATTAGCATATTGTCAAAGATGAGTGCATAAACAATGTGGCAAAATAATTGAATAATGTAATTTCATTCTTTCATTCATGCACTTATATTCATAAAAGTTATGAATATTAAGTTATATAATCAGTAAATATTGTTAATTTTGAAAACGAGTTGAAGCAGTTATACAGCTTGAAGGGTGTAGATTGAAATTATTTGGCGATAGAAATTAAAAGCAACTACTGGAAAGTGTTCAAAATGAATTACATTACATTCAAATGGTTGAAGATTTTTCATTTGATCCAAGTTATAAAAATCAAGAAATTTTACATTTAATTATAAAAACAAATATTTAAATATATCCATTACCAATGATAACACTTAGAACACATTTACAATTCTAATATACTTTGCTCACAAAAACTAAAGAAACTTACCGAATTTTCAGTACATAGATTAGCAACGACAGCTGATAAATTAGTTTCCCTTTCATCTTCATAATCATCATCACTGTTTTTAATTACATCACGATATGCATCAAAACATTCTTCATACCTGCAAAATTCAGTCAGTTTGCAAAAGAAAGCAACAGGAGATACAGCACTGAAGAAAAAAAAAAAAAGGTGTACATACTTCTCCAATCTATAGAGAATTTGAGCTTTAAGTTCCTTGATTCTCAGTGTCACATTTGAGGCTTCGTTCACAGTTTTTAATGCTTGTAATGGCTGGTTCAAGCGGTATTGGCAATATGCTTTTTCAAAATCCAAATCACTGCAACAGAATTTTCCCTTAAAATTCGGCTAAATGTAATCGGTCATTTAAATGGCACTTGCATACCTGGAAAGTTTGGGAGTATTATTGACTGCCTTCAAACCATCTTGAAATCTTGACAGCTGAATTAAACAAACAACTTTACAATGAAATGCCTCTTTTTCATCCGGATACTGCTGAAGAACTGTAAATATACGAACACCCAGTTTTATGATTAAAAAGTCACATATGGTCTTCAGCAAACATAGTGAACACAATTTTCGAAGTAAAAGAAATTCACAAGATTCATCTGACAAAATAATTACTTTTATTTGCAGTTTTTAACGCTCTTTCTGACTCTCCAGCTTGTCCAAACCTATTTAATTCTGCATACAGTGAACTAAGGTTACTTTCCCTAGACGCAGCCATGTTCACCAGAACACGCAGACCAGACGCAGACGCAGACCAGTGTGTAATCGAAATTTCCAAATCGACCGAGATCGATTTAACGTGCATCGATTATGGTGCACGTGACGCACCTTCGAGTACGCAACTCGAAGTTTGCATCTGCAGAGGCTCAAAAATTGGAAGAGACGGTGCTTCACTCAGTGCAATAAGCAGCAATAAGTTTCTATGGGCGTACGCGAGCGTCGTATTACAAAGGAAGAATTACTTTAGAGCATTTCATCACATCTGATGGGGTGCGAGAAAATATGAAAAAATTCAAAAAGGGGTCACTTGAATTTGTCTCGATTGCCTTGCATGTGAAATAGTAACTATAACAGTTTCTTGTTCAGAACGGTCTGCGTGACAGTTTTATGGATATGTTTTTATTTTATTTTTTTAAGTTTTGGGGTAGGCAAGGTTAGCAGTGCCTACCCCAATGAATGTTCTAACTTAACAATTTCACCAGCCCGAGAGGGGCGAACAGCTGAGGCAATTGGCGATTCCAAATTTTAATTGTATTCTCGGTTTCTGCTTGGTAACTATTTCAATGGTAGTTTTTCAATCAATAACGTTAAAAATATTCGCTCTTCGCTAGCCTATTACAATGGTACCCGGTCCATAAATAAATTCCGAATGTTTTTTCTCGCCGGTTCTCTATGTTTCGTTTTCTTTTTACTGCCTTCGAATTTTATATTTTCCACCTCAAGAAACATCATCTTCACAGAAGAAATTGCTTAAAAATTTCAATATGCATATTTTATAATAATAGAATAATGCGCACGATCGTGCATATATATTTTTCCACACTTAGTTGTGTCCGCGACATAGTCATTTGAGAGCACCAGTTTAGGTGATTTATCGAACTGTTGACGAAAGGTTGCACAAAGGTTATCATTTGTTTCATGAAACAGTTATATTACACACACCTTATGGTGTTACTCATGCACTGCAAGTTGAGTTACTTGATGCCTTCTTTATTTGGGCCCATCCTATTACTATTGGTCTTAGTGGGCGTGCAGAAGTCTTCCTAGATGAGATCGTGTTTTTCTCTTCTTTCTTTCAGAAACAGTTCAGACGCTGCGGTGCACACTGGAACAAAAAGTGGCGAAACCTGGCCAAAACTCCTGGAAGCCTATTTACGAGAATTCAGGGACGGGAATCATCATTAAAAGACTAGGAAAATATGATTGGACATATAGAACATATATCATGAAAAAACAACAGCAAATATTTAATTATTTTTTACAATAATGTGTTTCAATCTGAATCACCGTCATCATTAGACGAATGAGTAAGAGTCTGTTTTTCTGTAGAAAGGATATTAATACTCTTTTCTCACAAACCAAATATCTGTTTTACGAAGTTTTCCAAAATTGACACAAGGGGATCAGAAGCAACTAATAGTTTATTTATTAGGTCATCTATTGTAGATTTCCGGCTACACTTCTGGAGTAACGACGACGGCATAATTTCATGTTTTTCATGCGACTCCTGGGCATCTTTAAAAAGTTGTCCAGTAGGAACAAGGGCATTTTTCATAACTTGTGATCTGTGAGTCAAAATTTGTATGTACACTCAGAGACATGTTATATCACGGATACATTTTTACCACAGGTCGAGCCGTTTCTACCGAGTACGAGTATCGTATATATTGAAGGCTTGAACATTGCATAGTCACAAGAAAGTTCGGCTGAATAACTGCGCACCTCTTAAACACATTTTATCTACACAAACATTTATACTCTATTTTCAATATTATAGTTGTAGAAAGGCGCCGAAAATTTAAACTTAAGCAATTTTCTAAAAATCAAGTATTTTAACGAAAGTAAGACCTGCACCATTCTCTTAAACGTCCTTCACAATATCCAACGACAAAATTTAATCAAAAATGTTTGGAGCCATTTGGAAAATGTTCAAGGGGTAGCGTGACAAGTAGTCCCGAAATTAAAATATCAATTTCAAATTTAAGGGGCCACGATATCAGTCAGACCGAATGGGGAATATAAATTTTGAACAAAATCGGCTGAACGGTTTAGCCGCTAGCAATGTTCACAGACAGACGAACAGACGTTTTGCCGTCAATCGATTTTTCGGTATCAACGTCTCACAGAACATGTGTTCTAGCAACACCACGTGTTAGAGGATTTTGTTTCTATATTTAGCAACTGTATTTAACTACTTTTTCGTTAGCAGGACCCGGCAATAAGAGTTTTTCTGCCGGAAATTAGCCGTTTTCGCGCAGCTTTACATTACATTCTCTCTACTGCGAAAGCTGTAGCGAGAAGGTGAAAAAGCAAAAGACATTCGATTAACTATTAAATACCCTACTTACTAAGAGTATTAGTAAACAGAATATACTATGAACAAGAGCGACTAGGGTGCACACATACTAGTTCATTTTCACGTCTTCACTTGAAAGTAGCGTGGTATATTAAATCAAAAATATCGTTAGCGCTGGTATTTGTTTATTGCTCCATATTCTACATATTATGAAGATTTTTTTTTCAATAAGTCTCGTTTTGGAAGAGTGTACTTTCATCCCTGTTGAAAACTGAACTTACCCTAACATTTACACGTTAAGATATAATGGTATCTAACATTAAGATAACGTTTTTAGCAAAATTGCAGATAAACTCATGTACGTACTCACATGAGTGACATTGACCAAAACTCTTGCTCCTGGCTTTTTGTCTGTTGATGCTCTGACCTCCCAAATTTTCCTGTGCGAAAGACTCGTCCAGTAGACTGAGCTCAGTTTTACAGATGCGCCACACAACAACCAGGAGGGTTGAATTGTTTATGTTTACATTTTCTTAAGTGTTTGTAGTTAGTTCTTGCTCTCTTGTATTTATTTAAAGTGTGCGTTTCTGTCCCATCAGTTGTGTCTCTGCTTACTTTCCAGCTTCTAGTCTCATGCAACAGCGTCCTTCTAATCTCAAATACTCTCTATCTAGTCTCATGTTATGTAGTCTACTTTCATGTCAGTTATGTCTCAGTGTAGACTCATGCTACAAGTCTTCCTTCTTTAGAACACTCAGCACCGAATCATACTTGTACTTTCCTTTTGTGTGAGGAACGTGCAGTTTGAGCTTCGTAAATTACTTTTGTAATGGCTTCATCTATTTTGTATTGTGTACTCATTGTATTTCTTTATACACGGTATATGATCTGCTGCTCCCAGAAGTGCTTCTTGGTTCAAGACTCTTTTTCTTTTAGGTTCTTCAGTTTTTCCCTTGTGTCCCCCAAGGGATGTTCAGGACTGGACAGTATGATGTTTTCTAGTAGGTGTTGGTGGTCGTATTATTATGTTCTTGTGGGTTGTTTTTATCTCCGTGGTAGTAAAAATTAAATTGATTGTGACTGATGCATTTGATGCAGCGTACGTTGCTTCTGATCTTTCTTGCGGCATGTACATGCCTGTTTCTGTTATGTAGTCTGAGAGCAGAATTGTTTCAGGTTTGGTTGGGCAATTCTATAATTGAAGGCTCTGGCTATTATTATGGGATGATCTTTGGCTATATGGACAAGCGATTCACCAATGACGTCTATTATACAGGTGTCCCGTTTAACCTGACAAATCAAAATAACTCGAAAATATCGCATCATCCAAAAAATGTCCTGGACAGAAAATGAATATCTCCAAGGGAGATATCTGCCTGACATAAAATCAAACCTCGCCCTCACTGCTTGGGGAGAGGAGGGGAGCAGTCTTTGAAATGTCAAATGAGTACCCCAATTTTTTTTTATTGCAGGTTCGTGTTATACACTAAATAATAGCTACATTAGTTTGTCTAAAACATTTTTTGGTTCGTAATAGATGTCGCGGTCATTTCTATTTTTTTCTTTTCTCGAAAAATTATATTTTGCGTAGCGTAGGTTTCCGCAGCCAGAGTCACTATGTACTTGGCTGTCCGGGACGCCGCGTCCTAGGCACAGATGCCAACGGCCGCTCCGGCATTTCGCCCTGAGGAAGGTCGCTGAATGGCGGTCAAAACGTCGGCGCCGTGCCTTGGACAGCCAAGTACATAATGAATCATCTGTTCAATAATTTTTAAAGAAAGTATCTAGTGATAACAATTGAGTCCCCTCCCCCACTCCCCACTCCTAGGGGGTAAGGTGGGTGGTAACTTTCAAGTCTCAAACGGGAAAGAATTAAATAGTTAAATATGTTTTTTTCCCATTCGTATTAGCGTCGAAATGTTTTCAACAAACCGCATTTTAGCCTAGGAACAAAGACGTGGACTCTTGTGTCCTAAATAGGACAACTTTAAATTAGACTACTTTATTTCCAAAATCTAAAATCAAAATTTAAATACAAAAGCTGGGTCTCGTTTTCCAGAAGATGTGTACAGTCCAGTTGGCGTAAGCGCAGAGATTCCAATAGCCGTGATCGTTATGACGTAGTAATAGGTGGGCAGGCAGACTTCGCCGACTCGAAAAGCCGACTGCTTGATGACGCGGAGCGCTCCGCTCTCATGGAGCCACGGCGGAGGGGCGTCCGCCACTTGCACTCTCTTTGCAATTGGCAATGCCATTTTTAAATAACAATCGCAGTGTGCGGAAGGACCAAAAAGGCAAAGTGGGACAAAGCGGGGAGAGGAGGAAGAAGATGGCAAGGGGACAAAATGGGGCACTGGGGGAAATTGGAAAAGGGACAAAATGAGGAATGGGGACAAATTAAACCATTATAAAAATGGGATAATCGGCGAAATGGGAGAAGAGGACCAAATGGGATAATGGGGAAAATTGGACACGTGGACAAAATGTGCAATGGGAAAATTGGACAATTTGGCAAAAATGGGACACGGGGACAAAGGGATGGTATTGGTGAAGGAGTCAAAATGGGAGACCCATTTTCGACAAAATGGGACAAGATGGGCGTCGGGATAAAACGGGACAAAATGAGCTAAGGGGCAAACAGAAAAGGGGACAAATGGGATCAATGGGACATGGGAGAAAATGGACAAAACGTGACAAAAAGGACAAGGACTAAGTGGAACATAGGTTGTTTTTTTAACTTTTCTTACTGATAGTGCG